TAAATTCCCTGCCCTCACCCCCCGGCCCGGGAAATTCCCGTATAGCCTAAAAAGCGAGGTAGGGAAGAACAAAAAAAAAAAAAAAAATGCCTCACAAAACGAGCAGTCACGGGTGGTGGTCGGGGATCATCTTTTCTTGGTCTCCGTCGCTCCACAAAGTCGAGGTCCTCTGCTTTGATCTTAATCCCGAGGCCGGCTCCCACGCTGGCTACCAAGACCGATGGAGTCTCTCCCGCGCGTACTGGGATGCCGCGAATTTCTATTGATCTACGAAGTAGACCTTGCTCGGCTTTGTTAACACACACCTCAAGTTCGCCTACTCTGGTTTTCAGCATCTTATTTTCTGAGGTGAGTTCTTCTAGGTGTTTCGCTTGGGCTTCAAGGTGTCATTCTATTTTTGTGAACCTCTCATTCAACTCGAAACTGAGCTCACCATACTTCTAAAGCGACGTTCTTAAATTTTTAATATTCTCATTGACCTGTTCACCGAGCTTGTTGACGGCTAGGAGAATATTTGATGAGGAGGGTTCTCTGGTGTCGCTCTTGGATGGACTGGCTGACTTATCACTAGGTGGGGCAGCCTTTTTACCCTGCTCACACTTTTTACATAGCCACGTTTTTTTTGCAATTTTATAACTTCAATCTCCTTTTCACTGTAATTGCAACATTTGCCGTGAAATATTATGCAGCATTTATTACAGCTTAAATTATATTTATCGTCTCTCACGAGTTGAGCATTGTACCATTTTGTTGAAAGAGAAAAAAAAAATATTTACGTACGCAAGGAAAGTGTTTTTTATCACTAAGGCATTAGCTACTTCTCTTCTCTCTGCAGCAGATGTTTCATGAACTTTCTTCTATCTATTAATGATTCGTTAATAAATATTATTCGCTACTATGGTGGATTAGAAAACAAAAATACTATTATGAGAAATCACTGTAGAAAATTTTATGAAATAGATTGGTTTATGTAAAAAATGACTGAATTTCACGGGAGTGATGTGAACTGTACGCCGTCTCTAGCCAGACTCTTGTACTATATTTATCTCATATGTCAACTTATTTTTTTATGTTTTCAGCCCATTGCATATAAAATTTCTCAGTTTTACCCATAATTCTTATCATTTTGTCTATTTATAACATATATTCATGGTTTACTTTACAATTTTAAGAGGAGTTGACCGCACCAACTCAATTTTTTGTTTAAATTTATCATATATTTATGTTAAACAATAGTTCTAAGTGTTTTTACTCTATTTTCTGCAATTTTCAATAACATTTAATATTTTTATCTATATTTCTTATAATTTTGGTCTATTTTTACCATATATTCATGAATTTCCTTTCAATTTGTAGTATGTTTACCTAATTACATCAGCTATTTAGATAATTTAAAAAAAAATATTTATCTAATATTTGATAATATTACAATATTCATTCTTTGGCAATAGTCCATTTGTTGTATATTTACTCCATTTTCAACATTTACCATTTTTACTTAAATTTAACACATATTCACACTTTTACACTATAGTTTAAATATTTCAAATACATTTATATTATTTACATATACAATTTGTATTGTATATTTATTTAATATTTGAGTGTATTTCTATTCCATTTTAAGAAATTTTTAACAAAATTTACAATTTTTAACTATATTTCTTATAGTTTTCATTTAAGTTTATCTATTGATTTAACTATTTTCTCCACTTTATTTAGCTATTGTTTATATATTTTCTTCATTTGTTGATGTTATACGTATGTAAACTTTCTTATAATTTATATTTTTCATTCCGATATTTCAACATTGTTTAATAATACTAATACTTTTCACGTAAATTTCTTTAAAATATATACAATATTTATAAATTAACACTAAATCCTAGTCTACTATGATAAATACGACCTAAAATGTACGTCATTTTTTTTATACTTTTTGAAAGAAATTCAGTATTTCTGTAATAATTTTTCCCTAAAAGTAGTGTCTAATACAGCTATAAAACTAAAATTCAACATCCTAACATTAATAATACTAGAAATATATGATATTATAAACAATTTTAAGAAATTCTCTGAGGTTGAAATATAATTATATGTAATATTTACATACCCTAGGGAGTGGGGTAGCTCAGTGGTAGGGCACTGAGCTTCCAATGCAAAGGTCCCAGGTTCGAACCCTGCTCATGGCAGAAAATTTATTTATCTGTTTCATTGGCCGTGGGGCGACCCTGGGTCAGGGAGACCCTCCTGGGGCACACCCAGCCTCTATAAAGTGGGTACCCTTAATTAAATAATTGATTAAGGGGGAAAACCTGGCAGTTGAGCGTGATCTCGCTCAAATCACCTCCTTGCACAACCGTTGACCTAGAAACTGTACTTTCCCTAAATAGTACTGAACCCCAGACCCTTCATGGGTTGTAGTGGTACAGGTTTTTTATTTACATACCTAAAATCACTTGAAAGTATCAAAATACAAAATTTCTAGAGCTTCTACTCAGTATTACTAGAAAAAATACATACATTTTTCAAATAATATATATAATAATGTAATACAATGAATAGGAAGGTTACTATGAGGTTAAAATATTTGAGAAGGTCTGTGGAATAGCACATATAACCCAATGATGAAAAAAAAAATAGGGAGGTTATTGTTAGGTTATATGCAGTATGGAGGAAATGGCGGTTCATATTAGTCCCTATAAATGAACTATCATTGAATACAACTAAATATCAGAGGCATTATCTGATATCGTTTTGTATATATGTTAAAGGAATTGAAGGAGTTGATTTTCCGATAACGGAACCATATTCACCTTGACGTGGTGAGAGGGCTTAAAGCTACAAGCTGAACTAAGAAAGTTGCACATAATTACTAAAATATATATAGATAATTCTTTTTAATATTATATTTCTTATACAAATAAAACCATTTTTTCAAATGAAAATACTCCTTCTCATTATCCACTTAATGTTCTATTAGTATAATAAATAATATGCGGCTTCGCTACTGGTTGGTTTACAGATTATATAATTATGATAAACATATAATGTTCAAAAGGCTACAATTTTTGAACAATTTAAAATAAATGAAACAATGTTTAAAGGCTAGAATATTATAACGATTTAAATTGAAAGAAACAGTGTTTAAAGGCTAAAATTATGGAATGATTTAAAGTGAAAGCAACAGTTTTTAAAGGTTACAATTTTTGAACGATTTATAGTGAACAAAACAGTGTTTAAAGCCTAAAATTTTTGGCGGGAAATGGACGCCGCCATATTGCTCTGAGGACCTGGCCCAGGATTGTTATATTCTATCTACTGATAATAAATTTAAATTTTTGTTATGATGGTGATATCTGCAGGTTGTTTATTAATAGGGACTTCTGGTTAATCTAAGCTTACAAATTAAATTAACTAACCAAACTTCTGTGATATTAGGATTATTCAATTCTCTTCACACACGATATTATAGCGGAGATGGGAACAAATAAAACATTTCAGTTTGTAATTTATTACTGCTTCATTCTTCTACTAATATTAAACCTAGGAAAAAATCATGCTGTGATACTGTCAGAAATTTAGTTTCTACTACACTGGGTTATTCAATGCAAATAAGCAACATGGACCTTTTATCCAAAAATGTGGTACCTGCATGGTGTCAAACAACTGGCCAAAAAATGGCACCACAGTGGGTTATAATTTGAATATTAATTTTATATTATATTAACGAAAAACATGTATTACTTTTTTGTTGAAAAATAGTCGTTTTTGTATACAGTCTATTATTAAGCTCTTCCCAAAGCAGCTCAATTGGATTGAGGTACAGAGATTAAGCCGATTTAAGTCATGTTGTTCAAAATGATTTCCTCTTTATTTTATTGTAATATCCTCTACACATATGAAAGAATATTTTGGACGATTATACTGCTTTTTACTAAAACCAGAATTGAATCAAAAATGAAATGCACAGTTCTTCAAAAATTCTTTTTATTACTCTCTTTGTTAAATATTCCAGTAATCTGTACAAAAAACATCAAAAGCCTGTGAAACACCCTCATGCAAGGATGATCTTCCTTCAAAATTTAAACTTGAAATTATCCCTCAAGGGATAATCTTTTCTGATGGGTTTGCTGCAAACCATAATTTGGTGGTTAGATCTATTTCTTATGTTCAGAGTCCTTTTCTCCAATCTTCCACTGTCAAATTCTTATGACCAAGTACTCATTGATAACTCTTTTTATTATCATATCATAGAAGCTTATTTATTGTACTGACACACCCCTATAAGTTGTTCTCCATGAGTCTTCATTTGACCTTAATAAAAGAAACTGATTTTTTGCTGATAGTGTTGACTTCAGCTCGAATTGAGGGGCAGTCAGTTTTATTTTTTACTTGTTTTTAAAAATTATAAATTGGTTTTCTTAGGTAGGTGTTATTCAAGTTCTTCCTGTTCAAGTTTGATTTTTGTAAGAATGGATCTCTTGGTAGGGGACAATGGTATTATTTTAGTTGTGCGACAATTAGACGCTCAGCTCTCTTTTCCTTGTGTTGTGTGTAAATCACACTACATAGTTGAATGAAATGTTGTTTATTTTTATCCATTTTTATAGGAAAACTAAACAAAAATAAGTCTGTAAATATATAATCTTATATATTAGAGAGGTTCTTAAATGTAAATGAAACTCCAGGCAAGAAATGCATCATTTATCCTTGTGGATTGTTAGATTATTGTGATTATCAATGTTAGTGAAATATTAGTTTCTTCTTATTTATGATATTTAAATAATTTTGCTTACCTCTGATGAATACAATTAATTGTTAATAAAAGTTAAGGTATTCTATTTTTATAGTGTAACTACCTTGTGTAATTAAGGTTTTGAGTGATTAAATCATATTAATTATTGTAAATAACAGATGGTCCCAAAATTTTGACCAGTACTGTAGATTCTGAATATTATTAAAAGGTATTTTGCTATAATTGGTATTAAAATTTATAGTTTATCGAGAAGTTTCAAGAAGTTAAAGAAGCTACAAGAAGTGCTAGCAACAAAGCATCTAATGGCACTGTGATAACTACTCCAGTAACAAGTGCAAATGCTAGTCCTGTTACAACTCGGGCTAGTGGTGGTGCTTTGAGTGATGCAGGGCCCTTATTGGATCCACCCTCGATGCAGCCCTCCTGCACTTCACCAGCCCCAGCATCTACCTCACAGGATGATACTGGTGGACATCACCGTACTCCACAATCCTCGGTTTCTCAGGTAAAGATGATTGTACTTGAATAGTAAATAGTGATAGATTTAATATTATATATTATAGTCTCAACTTGATATTTTCGTCTATTTTCAAGAGTAATGCCACTGTCGTGTTATATTTAAAACTGTAGTACCAGTATTAAAAAAAGTGTGATTAGATTATATTTAGTGTAATAATGTAAAACATCAAGCTTTATTTTTGTCAATGGTTCACTGAATTTCAATCTCTAAAATTTCAACTTCTTGACAGGGAAACACTTTGTATTGACTAACTATATTGGGTTGCTATATACTATAGAGTATTATAAATCTCCCTTAGACAACTTATCTTTAAAAATATATTCTGAACAGAATGAGAGGTCTCGTACTAAATGATGGTCGGAATGAGAATGGAGCAGAATAAATGGCCTTGAATCGGTGTAAAATCAATGTAAAAACAATTCCACCTACGAAATAGTTCAGAATGGAACGAGACCGAAGGAGATTTTATTTCATGGAGTGAAATCTATCACTTTGTGGTTTAATTCTATTCCATTTTCTTTCCAATCTGAAATTTCATTCTAGCATCAATTACATATAATTATAATAATTTTTATGGAATTAAGTGTCTTTGTGTCCTGTAAATTTTAGGTTAAATTTGCAAGTCTTAAATTAATTAAATTGTATTTATAACTGTTTTTTTGGAAAAGTTCTTTATATTTTGCAGGTTCCGAATTTTCTTTATTAAATTTGGAGAATAGTCGATTTAATTTAGTCTGTATAAAAATCCAAGGGGGGTACATCATTTTGAATTAAACTTAAGCTGATCAGTTTCAACGTCATCCTTTCTGCTAATGGCATTGTTGCATGTTGCATGTGTTGCAATATTGCTTAAGAGTTCTGTTTTTTTGCACATTCCTTTTTTTGTTTCTCCATCTTTTTTTGTTCATTTATTTTCATATTATTTTTCTTATATTTAATATAAATTTTACTTATCTAGAATTAAAAAATCGTAATGCTTTTCATTTGATGTATGTATAAGTTATACAACTTATCCTTGTATAATAATAATAATAAAAGGCTTAACGAACCCGAAGGTTCGATGCCAACACGACTAATTGCTTATTACATACCTCCCTCCACTGTTCGCCGTCCGAACCCAGTCCCTTCAGATCGACTTTAATGCAATCTTCCCACCTTCGCTTCGGTCTACCCCTCGGACGCTTACCATTCGGCACAGCAAATATTAACCTTTTAGGAATTCTCTCGTTACTAAGCCCAACAACTTAACAAGCCCATTTGATTCGCTGCGATGAAATTACCTCAATTATATTACCCGGATACAGTTCACGCAATTCGGCGTTGTGTAACCGTCTGAACTCTCTGGTTAACTTATCCTTCTTCGGTCCGAATATTCTACGCAATACTTTATTTTCAAAAACCTTAAGACGCTGCTCATGCATAATGTAAGCGGCCAAGTTTCGCATCCATAAAGAACTGTAGGCAAGATAATTGTTTTATAGATTCTAATTTTTAAGTTCCGGGACAAGAGGCGCGAACTAAGTAGTTTTGTCACAGAAAAATAACAAGCATTTCCCGCCTTCAGTCTGACCTTAATCTCTTCTTCAATTACTTATCCTTGTATATGCTTTCTATATCCAATTCATGTTCTTATTTATGAATTACCATATTTTTTTCTTTTCATTGCGATTATATATATATATACATTTTTTTTTTTCTCTGCTGTAGTAACGCTACCAAAGAGGCGTATATTTCTTAGAAATATGCACACACCATGCAAAAGCATATTATATGCATTACATTGTTATTTAAACATTATATATATATATATATATATATATACACACATAAATATATAAAATAGCTTATTACAAAATGTGTTGGCTAAAGATACTTAAAAGGAATAGTACTTATAATATATTACAAACAGAAAATTAAATAATGGATGATTAAATAAAATAAATAGTTGTATCATATGAGTGAACAGTACCAAAATGTACAAAAAAGAGAAAATATAATAAATAAATTAATACAAAAATTATGTGGAGAAGAAACAAATTGAATATCTACAAAATAAGGAATAAAATACATAAGTCTGAGCTACACTTATTCTAAAACATTATTATTTTTTATGTATATATATATATATATATATATATATATATATATATATATATATACGTACAAATAAATTTTTTTTTTGGTTGAGACTTTTTGTTTGTCTATTAGAGGAATGTATTTATTAATTAATTTGTTAATATATAAATATAATTTATTGGTATTATTGAGGAAACTAGTTCTACAAGTAGGGCCACTTGGTCCTTTTTTTTGCCAACTCTTGGTGGCTACTTGACGTTGCCACGACGTATTTACCAGAGTGGAAATGTCAAGATTCATTTCCCACGGTCACCAAGAAAATTAATCAAACCTTTAGAACTGAGTACTCTTGAATCTACACCCCAACTTGCTCGGCCATCAGATCCTTGAATATAATGTGATTGCTTCCTCACTACCGAAGGTAGGGAAGCTTTGTATTCGTGTGGGAGATTAAAAAATATGTTGTGCCCAGAATCGAAAATTTCCACTCGCGTTTTATGTTTCAGACATCAATGATCAAATTTGGTTCGGTGTCTCTCTGTTGGTCTGTCTAGTCAAATAGATGTGACGGGTGTATCACGTACTACCATTTATTCAATTTTCATGAAATTTTCAGTGATTGTGCTGGTTGGTGCCTAGATGGTCTCATATCAATTTTAATTAATTGGTCCGGTATTGGTAAAATAATGATGCTGTATCGATTTTATTAAATGCTGTACAGTACTTTGGGTTGCGCATGCACTACAGTATTTTATAAGATATGCCTATATTTCAGAAAGAGCTCAATCAATTTGACTCAAAGCTAGAAGAAAGGTGAGAATTAGTAAAAGTAGTATTAGTAGCAGTAGACCTGGAGATATAGTTAAGTGTGGAACCAATGAAAATGGGTGAGGAAACTATATGGAGGAAACTATAGCCTCACTTGGCAGATTTTTTTTTCCAGTACAAAAACCTTAAAAGTTAAAAGGCAATAAACTCTAAAAAAAGTTTTAGTTTCTTCTATTTCATATTAAGGTCATTTAGAAATGACTTTAAAAAATAATTTTTTCCAAATGTGAAAAATTTTCTAATCACATTTTGTTGATTTAAAATTTCGCTATGCTAAAGTTTACATTGCAGTAATCATGAACTTCTAGTATGAACTTGTAACTTCTAGTAACCATGAAAATTGAATTAATCATAATTTTAAATTTATTTACTAGTGTCTTAACCTATTTGGCTCATGACAGTAGAAATATTTTTGTAGTAACGGAAAAACATAAAACCAAAAAGTGTAATATTTAGAAGAAAAATATGACATGTGAGGAAAAATAACAAATCTTACTTAAAGAATTTATTTATATTGTTAAATTATCTTGATGTTTTATAGCAGCACACCAGGATTGTAAGTCGTTTTTCCACCTGGAACCTAAGTTTTGGTTTAAATGGTTGCCAGAGGCAATTATGAACATAAATTACTACATATAATTCATCCAAGAATAATTTATGCATCATATCACTTTTCAAAATTTTCACAATGTAAAAAGTACTTAGAGGATGAAAATTTATAGTGACACCATCATCTAGGACATTGTATTATTTTTTCGAAGCAATGTATGAGGATTGATTTGTTTGGTCAACTTGGTCGGGTGTTACAGTATTCTTAATTGTTAGTGTTTTTTCTTGGATTTACAGCTATATACCTAGTAAATTATATATATGAAATTTCCTACAAAATACACGTTCCCAAGGAAATAAGATCTACTTTGTTTTGTTAGTTTGAAATTTTGATTGAGTTTGAAATCTATAGATCTAAGACTACGTATGCTTATTTGAAAAGTAATCTAAAAAGTAAATAAACAAATAGGACCAGGTTTAGTGAACAATTTTTTCTTTTAGTAGTAAAGAAAGTCATGTGAGGGACATGGCTCTCATATTTGATTTATAGTTATTTGGAAATAATAGACTATTGTGTAACAGTTTTTAATACTTTAAAATTATAATAGGCAGTGTTTCAACTGCCTCCCTCAGTGCCACATCCTACGCCCAGAAGACAACCTGCAAAGTGGGTCGAAACGTCGGCAAAAATTAAAATAATTAATATATTTTAATTTTTTATTTATTTGACCGCACCCTCGACTAATTCCTTCTCATAAAATTATAATAGTTTACTTAAGTAAGGATTAATGAAACTATTAGACACTTTTCATCTATTATTCAATTAGAAAAAGGAAAATGCAATCTCAGTGATGAAGCTCCTCTGGTCTTTGTTTTTAATCTATCAATGTTACAAGCAGCTCCTGTAGATCACAATTAAGGTGTTACTTCTTTACAATATGGTACAATCTTGATAGTCTGGCATATATAATCCGATACGGTTGTTAAACTGACAAGCTTTTGACATCAAAGAAAAGATCACTAGGTTCTACAGTTATTTTGTTTACAAAAAAGATATGAAGAATTAAAATTGAAAATAATATATTAATTTTTAGAAAGACATAGCTCCCCAAAAGTATATATACATAATATTTTGTTATAACATAATTAGTGTTTCACTTTTACTTTAACTAACTGAAAAATCAGATTATAAATAAAAAATAAGGTCCATTTGTATAAATAATTAGTTGTTTTTTTAAATAGTAAATGGTCTCACTTGCTTCTCCCATATATTTTGAATTCCTGTTATTTCTTTTTCTTTATTACTTTTCTTTTTAATCTGAGATATTATATTTATTCTAGGTGGATCTCAGCATGCATTTTAAATTCGTCATAAAATTTTATTACTTGTTCTGCAGAAATTACAAATGGAAAGGAAATGATCTAGCTGATGAGATAATGAATTGTAAGGAGACCTACTTTTATTTTATTTTATTTTTTTTTATTTTTAAACTTGATGAAAGTTGGAAGTAAATTAAATTAATCCCCCTCTT